TCCTTGCTGTAACTCTTATCAAATTCTGATGATCAGATTGCATATCTTCTCACAGACCATATATCTTATGCGGAGTATCTTGTGGCTTAACCAACTGACCCAGTAGATAGTAGGATATGGGGTATGGGTTCTAAAATTGTGAAAATATGTGATCCATAATGCCCCCCTCCTATAACTCTAAGATTGTCATCTTGGATTGAGACCATCAATCTTAATTTGACAAAGAAACTGCTTTTCCAATAGGGCTTAAGAGGCTGTAGTGATTGATTCAAAAAAGAAACTTGCGCTGAATGTGCACACATAAACACATCAACCCACGCCAGTCTTAACATGGCAGAGAACTGTATAGCAATAAGATATGGAAACTGTTGAATTGAAACAGAAAAAAATTTACAATAATACATAGATGGGCCCATTAATAGCATGTTAATTTATGGCATGCTCTCTATTTTCAATGGCTTTCATGTCACTCTCCAAATTATCATCATTAACAAAAATATCCCAATTCTTGTATTCCCTCTCATAATCCTCCCTGTATCTTGTCAGTAACCGATGGTTCTAATGAACATAAACCAAAGAATCTGCACGATTTGAATTCAGCTTGTTCCTCTTAACATTATGGATATACCAGAAAGTACTCAATTCCCTCTCTACATAAGAGGTTCTCACACTCTGGGACAAAACTCTAATCGCCAAATTGTAAAGCTCAGAGGTGGTCACACCATATAAATTCCACCATGATAGTGCAGCCATTGTCTCTCTATCTTCAATTGCTTGAGAACAAGCAAATGCACCCCTACCACTAACAAAATCACTAAGTTGCTGACGGACCATAAAAGCTTCCTTTGAATCACCAACAGCTCTATCCAGTGCATCCAAGTAAGCCTTCTGGATATCAGGATCAGCATGAGGCTTCTTCCTTTTTCCTCCCCCAGGAGCTGAACTTATTAGCCAAGACTCTGAATAATAATAAGGTGTAAGGACATATGCAAGACTATGTAAAGGAAGATTTGTCTTGTCCCATCGTGTCATAGCAAGATTTTCAACAGCTTGATACATCTCAGAGTTATCAGACAATGCCTCTTTATGCAGTCCAACATGGACATCATCCTTGGATAAATTTCCCCAACAACAGCCTTATCTGAGTCACAAAAGCAAATCATCTCCCAAATTGGCCTTGTGAATGCCAAAATAGCCTCAACCTTCTTCCAAAAGCCATCATTCAAAATAGTTTCTTTTACCTCTTCATGTTCCAAATTTGACTTTGACCAACCCTTTTGGAGAGTCTCCCGTTCCCCACTGGATACCATGTTGACTAAAGTATTTTTCACATGAATAATATGCTCAAACAACATAAAATGATATCCAAATCTTGTCAGACTTGCCTTCTTTATTTTAAAAACATCTAAAGCTGAGAATGTATGAAAAATGTATAAAGCTGAACTATGGTTCCTTGTGTATTTTTTCATTCCCTTCACCTTTTTATAAATTTCACCAACAAAAGTCAAGCTTGGATGCATTGACTTTACAATATCTTTCACCAAAAGGGTTAAAGTATGAGCCATGCAACCAGACCAGAAAATATGAGGATGTCTCATCTCAATGATTTTCCCTGCATCCCTACATGCAGGCATGTTATCAGTCAAGATTTGCACAACATTATGTGCACCAACAATTCCAATGGCATCATGTAAAACTTGAGCTATAAATTCACCAGAGTTCTCTTCTCTAGAACAATCAATTCCACTAATATAAATTGCCCTACCTCCTGAGACAGCAATTACATTTGCTAAAGATTGGTTCTTGGTGTTTTGTTCAGCCATTTGAAACAATTGAAACCCCATATGTTGGCCATTGCTTCTTTATGGACATTAAAGCCTGTTCAATTTTAGCTTTCTCTTTGTCAAGCAGTGTAGTCCTAATCTTTTCTGCACAAGGTGGCTTATATCCTTTAGGTGCTTCATTAATACCCTTTACCATATCAACCCAAAATGGTGATTTTGCCACATTCAGAGGAATGCCATTCCCATAGAAGAATCTTGCAACTAACTCATCCAGTTCATCTACAGGAGATTCTTCAAAGACATCTAGGGTGTTATTCTCTTTTTCTATCATACTAGTAGCTGTCTTGCACATCAGCTGAACCATAAAAATATTTGAACTAGACCTTCTATGTTTGCAACGTCCAAAAATTCTCTTGTCTGCTTCTTCCTCTTTTTTTCATTTTTTCTTTCTCTTCCTTCTTTACCTTTGGACAAAATATCATTCCCTGGGATTTTTGCCCAGGCAGCAATCCCATGAAGTGTGCTCTAATACGAGAATATGTTCCAGTGTAAGGTTCATATCTGCACCCAAAATTACAAGTCCACTTGCAAGCATGTCCATCTCTTTTATCTCCAATGAATGTTACGTATTTCTTGAGAGGTGTGGCTGTTAACTCTACATTCTCATCATCAATTTCTTTACTTTCAGCTATTCCATCTCCAGAGGAAACCCTTGTGACTATCTCATCAATTTCATCTTCAGAAGATGTTTTAGATGTATCAGAAACCTTCCCTTTTTCTGCAATTTCATTTCTACTCAAATTACTTATCACTGAACCAACACCAATATTCTGAATGGGAACTTTAAGTGAACGACCTCCAAAAATTTTCTTAGCTTCTTCTTCTTCTCTCTTCATCTTCTCCCTGTCTGCCTTCTTTACCTTAGGGCAAAGTACTATTCCTTGTGATTTTTGTCCAGGTAATCAAGTATGCTCTAGTACGAGAATATGTTCCAGTTTAAGGTTCAGATCTACACCCAAAATTACATATCCACTTGCAAGCTCCCTCCTTCCTATGTCCAACAAATGTTACATACTTTTTGAGGGGGGTAGAAGTTTGCTCTGGAGGCTCATCTTCAATATCTTCATTGTCAACAAATGGAGTCTCCACCAGTACAACCATTCCATCACCTTTATCCATTTTCATCCTTTGGGAGAGGGGGAGGATGAAGAAATTAGAACAAAGAATCAAATGAATTTAAGGACAGTTCTTATATACACAAACTGATCAAAGTGCAAGACAAATAATCAAACAAAACCGAGGTATCAAAACAGAACATGTTTTTTTTCCTTTTTTGTTTTTATCAAAACAGAACATGTTCAAGCAAAACTGTGGATACTTGAACTAAAATCCATTAAGAGTAACACATAAAACTGCATATGAAAAACCACATACAAGAAGAAACTTTATTTTAGTTTATGAAGCTAAAGTTTCCATGAGGCAATATATTACCTGAATCAAGGTGAATGAGAGAAAAGGTATTCTGCTTTTCTCTATCAGTAAGGTCAGAATATTATATTAATAACAAAGTACAAAAAGAAGACAAGAAGAATAGACAACAGAAACAGAAACAGTACAAAAACACTCACAATGAGTAAATTAAATTCCTTGGTCCAGCAAAACAAAAGCCCCAAAATAAGACACTTTTGTCAAATACCAACCCCACCTCAGGCCAAAGGAATACCCAGAACATTAACATATCCCCTAATCCAACAGAACAAGGTGTTCCCTCTGGCAGTTGAGGATAAAAATCAATTATATACAAGTGTGATATATCCCATTAAATAGGCTGGCTACACACCACCTATCCCTTCTCTTACATAAGCATCTATGTGCAAAAGAAGTTTCTGCCTATTTGCCCCTATTTTTGCCAAGGCATCCACCATTCCATTTGCTGTCCTTTGAACCCACTTAGCATGATACATTGTTTGGATGGATTTTCATGATCTAGATTTTATGTTTTTTTATACTAAAATAGCATGGATTTGTTTTAGAAATTTCCATGCATTAATTGAACGGATGGGATCTATTGGTAAATGTTTGGATGCTCATGATTAATTCATTGCTCTTAAGAGACCACATTGTTAGCATGGATTCTTGGGTTAATTTATCTGGATGGCCCAGATTGCTTGAAACCTCAGTACATTACTTGGATGGTTGAGATTAAATCACTGATCTTAAGAGACCACTTGAATGGTCAAGATCATTGGATTGATCTGGTACATCAGTTACATGACCTGGATTTGGTACAACACTTGAAGGATAGAGATCACTTCACTGATATTAGTACACCATATCAAGGGACCATATATTTAGTTTAATCTACCACTAGCGGGGTGGCCCCTGCATTGCAGGGGCTAATGAGTATAGAAAAAATAAATCTTAAAATATGAGATTTTTTGCTTTGGAAGGGCTACAAGAAGAGTTGGTTGAAAGGTAAATATTAACTAAACGTAGAAACATATGAAAACCTTTAACTACAAATTGGACAAATTGACCAATATGAGTAATATTTAAATAAGCAAATTGAACTAAATATTAACCAAATGAGTCATTGAACAACATGTTAAAGGTGTTTGTCATCTTGTTCGAGAAAGAGTGCATGGTAAAGACATTAGCACTCTCCGTGTCAACTTGGGGGATCAGCTTGCTGACCTATTCACAGTCCATAAATCTACCTCTGGCTTACTTTAGGATTATATAACATGAACTGACCAGCTTGAGGGGGATTGTGGAATTGATATGGCAGGTCCACTAATCCCACAATCTCCTCTTCCTTCTTTTCTGGTTTTCTCCTCTTCTTCTCTACTTCTATGCTAGATGCAGGTCAGATTATTCAAGTAGAATATCAAGTAAACAAATTTTTAGAAAATAAACCAAAAAGAAAAGGACAACCTTCTTAATTTGACTCAAGCATAACAGTAGAGTCCTAGAGTTCAAAATGAGAAACAGAAAGAAGGGGTAGAAAGATCTCCAAATCTTATTGAATACGCTATGATTTCTTAATCAAGGTATCCAAGTTATAGATAGAAGGGAAGAACATCTATAAACACATAATATTGAAGTTACGGTTATAGGAAATTACATAATGCTTTGACAGAGTAAGAATGCAACAAATGTTAAGACAAAGAACCAGGACAAAGACAGAGGAATGTTATTAATAGTTATATATTATACATACCTTGCTTTGAGAAGCAAAAGAATTGTAAAAACTTCTAGACTATTGTAGCCACAATCAACAAAATCTCCCTGCCAAGGATTTAGGAAGACTTAAAGTCTACATAAATAAGTGCATAATAACACGTGACACAAACAAGTTAGAAAATCAGAGTTAATAGAAGCAAGCATTTAAAGATTACCATAAATATGTAATTTGTCTCTGGTACATGACATCCCGTCTGAAAGAGTTTCATTAGATCATGAACTGGCCATGAATGTCACCACAAACAGTAACTGGGCTATTAACCGGTTGGACATTTGACTCCTCAATTAAGATCTTTTTCACCTACAAAGGGCATCATTCATATGTCAACATATAAAGGACACACCCAAGAATAACACAGGAATATTAGAAAAACAAGTAATAAAATGTCATGATAAAGAATAATGATAGACTGTACATAAGGCTGTATTTGGTAAGAGTGCAAATGCAGAATGGAAACGGATTTGCACTCTGGTTCAGTGTTGCAGGTGAATGGTAAGAGTATGTTTTTGTACTGACGATGAAAGTAAATTTCTATTTTTTTCAACTGTTTTTGCATTCAAAATGGGAACGAATTGGAAGAAAACTTTGCGCTCAAAGTTCACCAAATGTAAAATAGGCTGGCTTCTATCACAACCAAACATGACACTGTAAATTTATCAGTGCAAAACCAAACCAAGTTTGCATCCTTCTATTTGAACAAATTTGCATTCATCCAATAATATTCACTGCTTAAACTCTTACCAAACACAGCCTAATATACCCAGCAATAACCCTTCCACAAAATGACAGAGAGGGTGAGAGACCAAAGGAACTCTCAAGCAAAGCAACCATGATAATAAGGAAACTGAAACAACTAAGAATTTAAGAAGGTATTTGCCAATATGAACAATTATGAATTAAATTGATGTCTGAAATAGAACCATTAAAAATAGGTGAAGACAATTTTGGACCTGGCCCTGAGCTCCAAGAACAAAAGAAAAAATCAATGCAGGATAAACTTCCATGCATTTCTCCAGAGTTACATAACCAAAAATAGGAATCATTGATTAGTAGTTTCCTAAGTTAGCTGATGAAAGTTAAGCACTATTTTACAATTGTTGTACCATTCAAGATTGTGCAAAAACAGATGATATATTTTAATTATTCTAGAAGATACAATCTTCCATATACTTCATGCCACGGAGACACGCTCTCTGCTTTCAAGAGCATCTATTGCCACTATTAATAGTCTTTTGAAAAGACCACCAAGCTCCAATATTAGCAATAGGAAATCAATTAAGGTTTTGCTTTTGCCTACCACGTCAAGAACGTGATAACACTTTATTATCATCGCTTTAAAAAACGACCCAGAAACTGAACTATTCTGGTCACCGGTTTCTGGGTCAACGGTTTGACTGTCCAGTTTGAATGCATGGCCCCGTTCTAACAAATAAATTAAAAAGTAAAAAAAATAATTAAACATGAAAATAGTCAAAAACCGTTGAACAGAATAATTAATCAATGAAAAACAAAGGATGAAAATGTATGTAAAAAAACAAAAGATGGCAATGTATGTAATTACCCTTTTATCATGGATAGATAAAGTAAAAAGTAATTTTTCTTTGGGTTAGACTTTAGGTTTATTAGGCAATGTTGTCAACATGGTTTTTAAAAACGAACCGGTCAGGGGTCCGGTTACCGGTTCAAACGGTCTGACTGTTCGACCCAAACGGCCAACCCATTCTGACATTAAAAAAAAAAAAAAAATGGAATACAGTCAAAACGGTTTGAACGGTTAACTGGCCAGTTCAGCGGTTTGCTGACCAAAATCAACGGTTTTGGGGGGAAAAGCGGGTTTGGGGGAAAACGGAACCGGTCAGGTGACCGGTTCCCAGTTTTTCCGGTCCGACCATCTGGTCCGGTCTGATTTTGAAAACCATGGTTGTCAAAGGAGATTAAACAAGATTGATGCAACGAATCCTTGGTATAAAGTAAGAATAACTCACAATCTTTTATTAGGACCAATAAGGTTTATGAAATTGTGCTTTCAAAGTTACAACAAACAACCAGGTCCATTTCAAAGCATCTGGAAATTGCATTCGGCATTTTTCTTGTCAACATTGAAACATATCTTAACATGTCATAGTCCCAAAAATTTTCTACTGTAAATCTCATGTCATCCTTTTTTGTCTATTTACTTATATTTAATATTGAAAATGTCTAAGCATCATTATCAACAAAAAGATGCCCATTTGGGTCTCGGGTGTCCTATTTGAAATACTTTCATTCAACTTGTCAAGAATATTTCTCCTTTGTTAATGCCATTTATTTAGAGGTGTAAAGTGGGCCGTGCCGTGATAGCCCGAGGGCCACCACGGGCTATGCCGTCCTCCCCGGTGAAAATTTTGGGGGTCGGCCCGGCACGGCCCACAGCCCAGGCCCAGGCGGGCCCGTGCCATGCCGCAGGCCGGGCTGACCCGTGGGCCAAGCCTTGGCCCAAGCCAGGCCATGGACCGGGCCAAAGCTATTTTTTTCTTATTTATTTAAAAAAAATGAAAAGAAACTTAAAATTTTAATTTTATATGAATTTTGATGTATACAATTGCTTATATATACAATAATTAAATAAGTTAGTATAATAAAATTGAAAAAAATGTTTATTTTATTAATATATTATATACTATATATTATTATATAATTATAATTTATATAATATATTATATTATATATATATAATATATATATAAATAGCATATATAAAATATATATAAATAGCATATATAAAATATATATAAATAGCATATATGGGCTGTGCTGGCACAAGGGCCGCGGGCGGCACGGCCTGCTTGATCATGCTGTGCCGTGCTGGCACGTGGACTTCAAACCCCAGGCCCAGCACGGCACGGACCATCGTGCCGGGCCTGGCACGACCCGTGTGCCATGCCAGGCCGGTCCAAAATCGTGGATTTACACCTCTACATTTATTTGAACCTGGAAATCTATTACTCTACAGTACAGCACACCCATGACCTATCATCAGATATTTTAAGATGCTGATGTGTTTGTGGGAGTGGGGCCAAATTCTATGACCATATGACATGTGGCAAGTTAAGGGAGTAGGGAGGTCAGTTCCAATTCCAGTCCCATATATAACGACTCGCATGCATCGATCTATCAAACAAACCATCAACCATCTCAAGGATTCAGTTGCAGTGACCAACAACTAATAAACCCAGACGGCCAGAACCCCACCAACTGAAGAGAAGTAGAGAACAAAAATTCAAGATCCAAGGATTGGTCAAGAGAAACAAACCGATCTCAAACAAGATTTATTTGTCTGAGAATGATGCCAGGAAAGGAGAAGAGCTTGTGTCTTTGCAAGCTGAATGTCGAGAAGACGTCTCTTCTGCTGCTGCTGCTACCACCCATCAAATCCCCACGTTCTGAAAACGATGGCTGGTCTGCTTTGTGTTCTTTATCTCCTTCCTCCTTCCTCCGCCTCTCGTTCATTCGTCCACCAATTTGCGCGAGAATTGAGGGCAGACCAGACCAGACAGTGATGGGGCCGCCTGCAGACCTAACCAACTACCTTCCTGTTGACGCTTTATCTCCCTTTCTTTGTGTTTTATCATCTTCCTCATGTGGATGTGGGGAGCCCGAGCTCCGGAGAGAAGAGTGAGAGAAAGATAGAATGAGGCGAGAGAGACTCTCTGAGTTTGAGCGTGACAGGCTTCAACTTTCCGCCATGCTTCCTGCTCCCTCTTAAATGCACCTCATCATCACTATCACCTCGTTTCTCTCGAGTCCCGATCCAACGGGTCCAGTCTCTCCACGTCGCTTGCCGATTAAAATTAGTTCTGCATGTCACGCATGGAAGCTGGAAACGACGTCGGCACGAAAGCCAACGTCAGTGGTCAAGACTCCTGCTCTCTCTCTCTACTCTACCACCATTCTTCATCAACCCAGAGAAAGACATTCAGATTCAGTCATACGCAATAAGGAGAGAAGATGTGTCATTACTCTCTCTTTCTTTCTTTGTTATTGTTGTTTATTGGTTTCACTCAGTGAAAGAAATGAATGTAACCGAAAGATATCCTCACCCAACTGAAACCAAACCAGAAAGTTCGTTTCTGGTTCCTCATTTCACCATAATGACCAACCTGCCCTTAGTCTTTGAGTGGGGCGCATACCTGAGTGAGGCGCATCGCAGTCTCTAGAGCAGAGAGACGGTGATCGAAGGAGCCGATAATAACGATCATGTTGTCTGTAATGGTCTAGCTCTTCTAGAGTGCCTCTTTGGTCTGGCTCTTCTAGAGTGTTTCTCTCATGAAGGCCGCTCGCTTTCTTAGGGTTTCTATGGGCAGAGGAACACCCATCTCATCTCTATCTTTCTCCTCCTCCTCTTCTTCTTCTTCTTGTATCAAGACTCCATTGCTTTGAGCCGATGAAAACTATGAGATCTACGAGGCAGCATGGCCAGGCCAGGATCGTCGGCTTTTGCTTCTCCACACCGTTGGAAGGTTTTGCCGCAGTAGCTTTCTGAGCGTGAAGAAGAGGATGGAGAAGGCGGGGTTTCAGAGCTAATGGCACGCGTGTCATAATCTGGATGGTGTATAATCTGTATTGGCACGTACGTGGGAGCTTGTTGGTGATATACAATCTGAAAGATTTAATCATTTTATTTTTTATTTAATATTGATTTATAAAAAATAATTATTGTTAATTGAATATGAATAAATATTTTTTAATAAATTTAATCTTATTAATAATTATCTTAGCGGGATTCGTGCGATGCATGGAATTTATTAAGCAAAATAATAGAATGCATCATATACTAAAATATTCTTACAGTTTCATGGATTTACTAAAAATCTACTATATATTAGCATTTTACTAAAATACCACTTATAATTTGTAATTGATTTAATCAATCTTTCGTTATATGATAGTGGAAAATGATAGTATTCATTTAAATAAATTTAATCAAAAGAAAATATAAATAAAAATACCATTTTGCCTTTAATAAAAATACTATCTTGACTCCATTGGTTATATTTGGCCAATTTTGTTTTTTGTATAAAAAAATGTTGAGGGTATTTTTGGAATAAAAAATTATGGACTTAATAGTAAAACAAACACTTCTTAATGAAAGGTTGATTAAGTAAATAAATTGTAAAATATATAGAATATTTTAGTAAAATAAAAACTATAAGGTAGGTTTAAGTAAATATGTAAAACTATAAGGTGTGTTCTAGTAAATGATCCTAATATAAACACATAAGAGTTTACAATTGTTTTATATTTTCAACTTTTTAAATAATTAATAATTATTCATATTTTATATACTACTTTTAATAATTTTGTTTATAATACAAAAATAATAATAATTAATTTTAATTAGGTTTATTCATCAAACTTATGAAACCGACCAACTTGATCAACTCGACCCTAGTTGGTCGGTTTTCTAATATTTTATATCGATTTTGGTTCAAAAAAATCTCAATTTGACCAATTTGGATCAGTTTCACTTTGGCCATTTGTAAACCGACCAAAATCGAACGACCTAACCATGGATATATATTAATATTTTTATATTTTAAATATAACTTTTAATATAAAAAAGTGAGAAATTTCCCATACATATTAGTATAAAATGTTTCATTTCATAAATCTAATTTTTAAATTTATTTTCTAATAATTGTCATGAGTGAGGTGGTTAGTCTACATTTGGGAGTCTCCTTGAAGGATAAAAGAAAGGTGAGTGTAGGAGGTGGCTAAAGGCTAAGGCAAATGAGGTGATAGAACTATTATCTCATTATAAATTGGACCCCTATTTATAGGGAGAGATCCCAAGGTCCCAAAAGGAATGAGCAAAAAGTGTTTGGTTCCCATTAGGAAAGATAATCTTGGATTTGGTGTCAATTGTTAGGAAACACTGTTAGGGTTTCGCCACATGTCTTATAAGATATCTTAAGGACGAACTTTCCTTTTGTCTGAGAATTCTCATAATACACATGTGCTACTTCCTTTCATGACCCTTTTAAAAATACATGGCATGGGTGATGTTACTATTTAGCTTGCACACTCTCATTAGGCTCACAAGGTGTCCCATCACGTGTGTTATTTAACGACACACGTGTTTCTATTATTTGTTTCTGATCTGCAGTGAGTCTGTGCTCATCGCGATTATGTGATGATTTAAAACTCATCGCAAGTCCGCGTGGGTCTGAAGCCCATCACAGTTCTGCGATGGATTTAAACTCATCACAAGTCTGCATTGGTCCAAAGTTTATCACAACCTGTTTCGGCTATGAATTCATCACAGATGTGTGATGAGTTATGAACTCATTGCAGATGTGCGATGAGTTATGGACTCATTACAGGCATTCGATAGTATTAGTTTGACACCTCCTCTGTTTTGATGGTTTAAGTGACCACCATGTACCTACAATTGCACTGTAATTTTTAAAATTAAATTTAATTTTTAAGTTTAAATCTTTTGAACCGATTTACCTTTTGTGAAAACTGACCCAAAAACCGATACAACTTGAGTGGGTCGGTTTTCACAAAAGGTCAGTCGGCTTTAACTGACGGCTAGTTTGAACCAACTCATTAACACTCATAATTTTAGCTAAATTAATAGTTTTATCTCCGAAAAAAATAACAGTAGTTTAATCTCCAATAATTATTAAAAATTTATAGTGAAAACACACAATTATTGAAAATATATTGATAATGAAAAAAATACAATAATTACAAAAAAACAATAAGTACTAAAAATATATTAACTTAGTCAATAAATAGTATGATCTCAAATAATAGATTAATTTTTAATAAACATTAATTAATCAATAAGTTATAACAAAAATTTAATAAATACAATAAGTACAATAAATTAAATTTAAAAAAATCAATAATAGAAGTTTAATTTCCAATAATTATTTAAAGTTTTCTGTTAAATAACAAAACAAAATAAATTAATACATAATCATTGAAAATACATTTATCACAAAAAACAATAAATAATTACTGAAATACAATAAATATTAATTTTAGTATATGTAATTATATAATAAATATAGATTAAGAGTTTAAAATTTTTATTAATAAATATTAATGTTTTTGAAAGTTATTTTCTCGAATTATTACTTGATAGAAGTGAAATTAATTATTTACAATATTATGTAAAATATTAAATTATTATTATTTTAAATATTATGTTATAATTACTTTTCTACTTTTTTATTTTTTTAAACTTATTACATAATTTCTCTATTTTAACTATTTAAAATCTAGTTATGTTAAATATTTTGTTATTTAAAATACTTAGTTATTTAAATACTTAAATAATATGTAAAATATTAAATATTTATTGAATTTAATTATCCATAAAATTATAATTTATACTATTATTAAATAATTTCATATTAACTTTGTAATATATTAAATTATTAGTATTTTCAATATTAAGTTATAATTACTTTTCTACTTAGAATATTTTTTTTAAATTTATTACATAATTTTGTTATTTTAACTATTTAAAATCTAATTATGATAAATATTTAAATAATCTATAAAATATTTAAAAATTTTAGTTATTTCAATTTCATTTATTTAAAGCTATTACATATTAATAAATATTTGAAAAACATTTAAATTGATAATCCAGAAAAATATAATTTAAATTGTTAGTACATAATTTCATGATATATTTTGTAAAAATATAAAATTATTTTTTGTCTTTTTAATAAATATCTTAAATTATTATATGATTTTGTTAGAATATTTAAATAATTCTTTTATTTTTTAATCCAAACTTTATTTAGATAGATATAGATAAAAAGTAGGGGAGAGGATAAATAGGAATTAGAGATAATTTAGGAGAGAAACTCTATATTAAATTAGATATAATTTTGGAGATAAATAAGAATTAGTGATAATTTTGGAGAAAGTGGGGGAGGTAGTTGAGGAGAAATTTTAGGATAAGAGATTATTTAGGTTTTGGGAAAGTGCATCTCATTCATTGTTTAATCTAATCAAGATAAGGAATGATTACTGTTTTATATTTTTAAAACAAAAGAAAATACAAAAAATGGAGAAAATAGATAAATAACTTCTCTCGAAATGCTGACATGGCAGGACCAGTTTTAATAACTTCCATGCCTATATAAAGTTGAAATTAACCCGATGGGGAGCATTGGGAACAGCGGTGCAGGTCAATGGGGCTACCCGGTAGGAAATCACAAACAACCTACGCCTACCCGATCTCATATGGGACTTTTTATGAGAAGGGGTTCGAGGGATCGGGATTCAGAAGGGACAAGTAGGATGAAGGCAACTACTCCCAACATGGTTTTCAAAACCGGACCGGACAAGACGGATGGACCGGAAAAACCGAAAACGATCAGGTGACCAGTTCCGTTTTACCTCAGAACCGTTATTACGCCAAAAACAATTGATTTGGTCAACAAACCGCTGACCCGGGCATTCGAACCGTTCAACGGTTTGGCCATTTTTTTAATTTTTAAAACCTTTTTATTTTTTTGTCAGAACGGGTCGTCTGTTTAGTTCAAACAGTCGAACCATTCGACCCGGGAACCAGACCCCTGACTGGTTCGTTGTTCAGTTCAGTTTTAAAAACCTTGACTCCCAAAAGGAGAATGGTCAAATGGAGCTCAAGAAAGAGGGGGAGCCAAGTTCGTAGGGAAACAAACATCTTCACGCAGATGTCCATCCTACCAGTACAGCTGAGTGTTCAACGCCTAGGCAACCTTCGGGAGAGGGACATGGATGAGTGGTGGAAACAGAGAAAGATCTATCCTCAGAAGAGTCTAAACTAGAGGAGATCCCCCCATTGGCGATAATCGAAAAAAGGGAGATGCTCACTCTATTGATGCTACCTCCGGCTGAAAACTCTAGTAAATAGGTATGTAATGCTCAAAGGGGAAGGAAGGGACAAAAGAGGGTGGGAAAGGAGGTGGATGAAGGGAATTCAAAAGGGGAGGAAGGAGGCGAGACCAACCTCCTCATGGGTAAATTCAAAATTGCTAGGGCTGGGAAATTTCTAGGAATTTCGATAGAAAGAATGGAAGAAGAAACCATTAAATTTTTGGAGGAGATAGAGAAGAAAGTTATGTTTGAGAGAGGAAGAATGAATGCGAAAAAAGGAGGAAGTTCAATGAACAAAAACAAGGAAATATTTTGTCTGTCTTGGGGTTTAAATAATAGGGCAGGCAAAGGGGAGGGCGTGGTAAGGGGAGGGGGGAAAAAGGTTAGGAGGAAAGGGAAGGGAAGGGGTTTAGGGAGTTCATTGTGTTATTAGATTATTGAATTTAAAATTTTGTCTTGGAATGTGAGGGGCTTGGGATCGGGGAGAAGAAGAATGGTAGTGTGTAATTTGTTGAAAAGGTGGAATTTAGATGTGGTGTTCCTTCAAGAATCGAAGTTGGAAGTGGTGGAGGCAACAATAATTAGAAGTATTTGGGGCCAAGGGGAAGTTAAATGGTTAAGAAAATAGGCAAGAGGAACTATGGGGGGCCTAATAACAATGTGGGATCGATCAAGGT